ACCTGCCCATCACCTCCTCACCACCTTTGTTCCCCTCACCAACGTGCCTGTTGAAGTCTGCCCCAATCACCACTCTCTCCCCTCTGGGAATACTCTCCATCACCTCATCTAACTCCCTCCAGAATCTCTCCTTCTCTTCTAACTCACACCCTACTTGTGGAGCATAACCACTGACTACATTCAACATTACCACTCCTACCCCATTTCTCTTCCTGTCCACACCATAATAAAACAGTTTGTATCCCCCTCCAATGCTACGCGCTTTGCTACCCTTCCACCTGGTCTCCTGCACACACAGTATATCTGTCACTTGGTTGATATCAAAAATACAAATTTAGCCTATGTACATTATTGAAACAACATGAATTTTACACAGATACATTCTCAAATGTGAAGTTTTTTGAAATGTTGCTTTCTTAAATGATTGTTTTTTGAAGGTAAATCTAAACTGCACTGAAGCACACTGAGTAAAATAGTGATAACTGTAATTGCAGTCACAGAACAAGCATTAGACCTGTGACTGACTGAATGAACACTAGCATTTGATTGCTATGAGCTCTTTTAATCAAAATCAAAATCAGTCCTGGCAATAAGACCACACTGCTCCAGGATCAGGGACTCACTATAGTAACAAGGCACCGAAGAACTTCCTCTGGTGTGAGGAGTGCATACATGAAAGATCAGTCATCATAAAAAACAAGCAGACCACTGAAACTCCATATACTCCATTAATACCATACTGTGGGTTGTGTTTGATTATACAAATAAAAGGCAAAAGAGAACACCTTGAGTTTGAAGCTTTATTGGATTTTAGGAGATTTACAAGGGACACGTTGCTGAAATGAACTGAATAAGTTAACTTAAACACCACTTTGATTTCTCATTCTTGCTTCTCTTTGTGTTTGTTCACTATTACACAGCACTGCAAAGACATGTTTGCATGAACTCTTGATCTTAACAAAGATGCTGTCATAAAAAAAGAGAACAGCAATCAGCTCCTTTATAAGAAAAAAGGGGAAAGAAAAGACCCGTGTTAGTCCAAGAGAATCATCTCTCCTGCCATCTACAGACAGTTTTCATCATTAAACAACAATACAATGACACTGCAGAAATCAAATTTTTAAACTTAAACCAGAAAGGTGGCAGAGAGGGTCAAAAAGACAGTGCTTAGATCATTTAAATATTTAAATATCTCGCCTGTAAGCCACACAGGCCAGTTTCAGCCAGTATTTCAAAACTACATTCATTTAACCTGATGATGAAGATGGTAACAGCTGCAGCCCAATAAGCACTAAGCACATGCATCCTTGCTCTCAGTTAAGCATGTAAAGCACCCAAACCTGCAAAATCTTGCTCTACGATGAAATGTAATGAAATATGTTGAACACAACTGCCCTGTCGAAATGAATGAGTGCTTGCTCTAATCACAGATTATCTCTGCCAGTCCAATCCAGAAGCAGGGAGATAAAATTGGCAGAAAAAAAGGGGATTATTTGACAGCGGTGGGAGACTGAGGCGTGACGTAGCAGACATAACATACCTACATGTTCATAATCATTCATGCAAGCACAGTAACAAATATGAGCTGGATGCAGTTTGAAATGCATCGTGCTTCTTTGTTCATTTATGAATGTGTCAGTGAGCTAAATGATCACAGCAGACACCTTATTCTGGCAATGACACCTCCCCCAACCCCTCCTCTACCTCTATCTATCTTTCCTTTCCCTATCATCCCACAGGGAACCATTGGTAAACATTCTCCATCACTACAATGCCATATAATGTATAGTGCTGACCACTACTGTGCACAATATATGTTCACAGTGCTTCTTGCACTTCTCATTCAAACTAGTATTGGTATTTCTGTCTTACTTGTGTTATTACAGTATTTATCTGCGTATTTTACACAACCTGGAAACAGCGCATCAGTTAATACCTTGATATCTCTGAGCTCTATCTGTCTTGTAGAAGCCAAAATTACTCCAAGAAATGATCCATTGTAAATAATCCATCCACAGACCTTCTTATAGAAAGAAATACACGGGTTTTTATGTCTGATGAAGGTCTGCGGACCAAAATGTGAGTTTGCTAAAGACAAGTGCAGTGGAAAGGACTTTTCCAGGTCAGTCTATGTTGATAATACAGCAGCTTATCTCATTTCATTCCATTTTACTGAAATTATGTGTATAATCAGAAAGGTATATACAGGGAGGCATTGTTTACTTCTGCAGAACTAAGTTCAATAATTTACGTGTTTATTTGTAATACATGAACAAGAAGCAGTGGTTGGGGATGGAGGGTTTGTTTGCAGAAGCAGGTAGGAAATTCATATTCTTAGACCATATTCTTTTAATAAATGTCAAAAGGCCATTTCCAGCGGTCAGCCAATATCCGACTGGCTCTACAACAAGCACAGTATTTTCATTTAACCATAAACAGCCCACTCTGTATTGTGTGTAGCTAAATCAGTTTAAAGAAATTGCTGCCAAATGACGAAGCAACCCTGTAAACCTATAATCTGTACTTGGAGAGATGACATCTATCCTCAGGTACAATTCAAAACAGTTTTATCAATTAATTAACAATAAAAATAGTGCATTTCAAAATAACAGAACAGAATTTTTATTGTTGGATCTCCATGAGTTCATATGGTGACAACCCAGGTGCTGGAACAGAATCAGCTGCACCAGCTCGCCCAAAATATTTTCACATTCACATTCACATGGAGCAAAATATTAGCAGACAAGGTGGACAAACCTGACAGACCCCAATTAATACATGCCTGGATTAGCCCCAATACCGAGAGGCTAAGCTCTGTATAGCTCTATCATGAACTCAGTTTTCAGCTGGATCATGATTCTCTATGGTTTGTAAAGGTCTGTTCTTGAGGTTTTCAAGTCTTTACAGGATGGAAAGGTGCTAATAATGTTTTCATGTTCGGACTGCAACATCTATAGCCTTTTTTACACTATACTGTCTTTAAGATGGCCCTTCTTTATGACAGACTGAACTAAAATAAAAGCCAGCCTGTGATCTTATGACACAGATACCGGCATCCCAGTCTTAGAGGTGTGACATTTAAGAATGACATATACCCATGCATATAACACGTACATCAGAAATACAAAGCATACCAGTAACGTTGTTACTTTTAAATCAACAGTGGCTGATGAACCATATAAGGATGTGGTTTTGCTCATCCTGTAAATACACTTCAATGGTTATTGTCACAGATTCTGTTTCTTCAAATTTAAATCCCCCAGTGGTGCATCACTGGGAAAACAACTCTTCATCAAAACACTGCCCACAGTGCCCCAGAACTTGCATGTCAGCCACCCTGTCAGCGCATGACAGATCACACAGTATTTTCAGACCTTGTTTTGCCATCCTGTAAACAGAACGACTCAACCCACCAGCTTAGTTGTTTTGCAGTGACATTCTTTCTCTGACATACATGTAGAGCCAATGGACAGGATAACATATGGGATCCTTCCATCCCCACTCTCTGAATGAGGTCCCCATGTCCCTTATCTTATTAGAGATGCTGCAGTATAAACTGCAGTGTGTCAGATATAGAGGTTTCATTTTCCACAGTGAGCAGTTCTGAAGGCAGTTATGTTGAACAGACGTTTTTCTAAGGCATGACTACAGATCACAGAAGCAGCATTAATGATTAGCATTTTCTGCATGCAGGGGCCCAGCACATCCCAGAACCTCGTCAGGGATTACGCGGCAGCCTCACAACAGATGTGCAATCTGGAATTACAATTAGAGTACTATTATCCATTATGTAAAAGCTTGTTATGTTAGCATAACAAGAGACTCTCTGGCTTTCCCCAGTGTCTCACACATGAGGTATTGTTGTTAATGGAAATGAGATGTTTGCACTGTGCTTCACTGGAGTCAGGGTGATGGAGGGCTGAGGCAGTGCTTCAAGTTGCTATAGCTTTATAATGTGACTGAGGACTTAACAGATTTTAATTAAGCACACACACACAAGATAAAATCAAAACAATTTCCAGAATGACCACGGCCACTGCAGCTCATTTTGAGTCAACCAAAACATATTCATCGTGGGAATGGTTGCCAGCTGTATTACTGGAATGATGCAGAAAAAACTGAATGAAATGAAAGATGGATCAATTAAATGTAGTATGAATGTGTTTACTGGATGAGCTGCTTCTCACACATGTGCCAGAGTGAATGAGTAGATGATGAAGTGCGTGACTGTGTGCTTGTTTTTGTATGTAGCCATCTACCTTCAGCTGTGTACCATCATTGACCATCATGCTGGTCAACAGCTCTTTTTTGCACTATTATTTTTCTCATGTTGTTGTTGAGCAAGTCCATTTCTTTCTCTCTCTGCTTCTCTCTCTCTCTCTGTTTGTGATCTGGAACTGTCTGCTGTCCAATTGTTCAGAGAGCTCTCTAATCCAGCCTCAGATCTGAGTCGTGCAGTGCAGCCTAATAGGATCGCAGTATTAACCCCGATGACAATACCACCAGCTGTCTCAGAGCCCCCTGTTGGCCACTAGGAAGAATGCACTGGGGGGGCAGGAAAGCAGTGAGGGAGGTGACTGACAGAGTGTGTGTCTGTGTGATGTTTTTACTCTCATGTGGAATAGTCAAGGAAGCAGCTCAGACGAGGACCACGAAAACTCCTGTAGTGCTTTATTTTCTGACTACTATCTATTTAATTTTCCATTTCACCCCCTCTGTAAACTAAATACTTTTTTCTATTCTTTAATTTTTTTTTTTTGGTTGTTTCTTCTCTCACTATCCACAATTCCACCTTCCCCTTGATCATCCCTCTGTCCTGTTTCACCTGCTGCGTCCACGCTCTGCTCCTTCCTTCGGTGCGGTGGCGGCTGCTGGCTCTGTGTGCCCTCTATATGGGTGAATAGTTGGTAAAAGGGAAGGGGCTGGTGGTTTTCTCTGAGGGGGCTTGCAAAGTTGAAGTCAGGACCAGGACAAGCAGGAGGAGGAGGTGGTGGAGGAGGATGGCGGTGGCGCTGGATGAAGTGTGGGGGCGGGTAAAGAACGTCTGCAAGCAGAACGGACTGCTCATCCTGTCTGTGCTGGCTGTAGTCATCGGCTGCCTGCTGGGCTTCTTCCTCAGAGGCAAGCAGCTCTCCGAGCAGGTCAGTTGATTAAAGTGCCCCCCACCCCTTTCCTACTCTCCTGCCCATCCACCTGCCCACCTTAGCTCCCCTCTCCAGTGTCTGAGTGTGACACCCTGTCTCCTTCCTAAATGCCAAGATGGATTCAAACACCACAGCGTCTAATACAGAAGATTACCCGGTTCCCTGACGCGTTACCTCCACCAATGTGCAGCATTTTTAGGCACACGCATAAACTGCCTTGTTACTTTTTTCTATTTGTTGGAAAAATTCACATTGATTAACAGAAAAAGATGTGCAGTACTGTGCAAAAGTCTTAGGCCACCATTAGTTTTGTTGTTTTAGCAAGGTTGTAATGATAATTTATATTTATTTCTCAATCTCTTTATTAAGATATAACCAGAAAATACAGGAAATATGTACCCTTTGTCACCGGTTCTGTTCATTATTTTTATGGACAGAATTTCTAGGCTCAGCCAGGGGCCGGAGGGAGTCTGGTTTGGGGACCACAGGATCTCGTCTCTGCTTTTTGCAGAC